CGGCGGCTGACCTCGGCGGCTGACCTCAGCAGCTGACCTCTGGCCCAGTGTCCACTCTCTCTGTGTTCTGATGCATCCGCTCCAGTATGCGGTGTATGCTGCTGAAGCTGGGCCGCTCCGACGGCTGGCCGCTCCAGCACAGCCTCATCAGGTTGTACAGCTCCAGAGGACAGTTGTCGGGACAGGACAGGATGTGACCGTCCCTCACGTAGTAGATCACTTCCTCGTGACCCATGCCGTAGTACGGCTGCATCCCGTGGGAAAAGATCTCCCACAGCACCACGCCGTACGCCCACACGTCCGACTCGGAGGTGTAGCGGTTGTAGAAGATGGACTCCGGAGGCATCCAGCGGATTGGGATGGCGTCGTTCTCGTTGGCTTTGTAGTAGTCGGCCGAATAGATGTTCCTGGAGAGGCCGAAGTCTGCGATCTTCACCACCATCTCTTCTCCCACCAGGCAGTTTCTGGTGGCGAGGTCACGGTGGACGAATTTGCGTTCCGACAGGTAGGCCATTCCAGCGGCGATCTGCTTGGACACGGACAACATCTGAGTACAGGAGAGAGGCGCGGCCTCGGCCTCGGAGGTGAAGCTGCGCCCTGATAGGCTGGCCGAGCTCAGCGTGTGAACAGACTGAGCGGGGGAGCGACGGCGCAGGAACTCGTTGAGGTCGCCGTGGGCCATGTACTCAAACATCAGACACATGGGTTTACCCACCGCACACACACCTGTCGGACAGAGAGGAAGACGTGAGAGGAAGTAGAGGAGGCGGAGCCAATGGCAGCAGGGCGGGAGGGGGAGGGGTGACACCCAGGGCAGAATTCACAACAATTACCCTGGAATATATTTACAAGAAACAAATCGATCTCAGGATGTAAAGTTTCAGGACACCTGCTCCAGGTCCGGCAGATATGCTATGCTACAACTAGCTAGCCTGCTACTCTAGATGTGTGCTAGTTGTGCCCAGGACCTTTTCTGCATATTCAATTGAAATTTTGCATGAACACTAGGTGGCAGAACC